AGAGAGAGAGAGTCTATACTGCAGTCAGCCACCAGGGGGAGAGAGAGAGAGAGAGAGTCTATACTGCAGTCAGCCACCAGCTGTTAGCTGAGGAAATTGTATTACGTAGATCTTCAAGATTAGTTTTATAAGGTGGACTGTACCTTTGTTGTCTCGGAGGGTGAAGTTGAGGTTCCCAGCAGCCTCGGTGGTCAGAGAGAACAGGAAGTGATGTCCATTTTCTGGTTCATCACGATCCACAGCACTCAGAGTCTCAATGATCTGAGAGGTCAAAGGTCAAACACATGAAAGAGTTAGTTTTATCTGAATTAATCATCAGTCAGACTTTTATTTCATTCTGAAGGTAAAGATTGGACTCAGACTGAGGCTGAGGTCACATTGTGAATGAGCTCCACTCCCTCACCGTCAGGTCAGAATCAGGTCAGAATCAGAAATACTTTATTGATCCCCGGGGGGAAATTTGTTGATACAACTATTATTAGTTTTGTTGAAAATTTGATTTTTGTTATGTGACATGTTGATCATCTAAACTTAGGATGCACTTTCGTTGATTAATACATTGACTTTATTTTGTATATTTTCATTCAAGTGTTTGCTTGATTACTAATCATTGATCTCTCCAAGGTCCACTTGAATGCCTCTTACTCCACCAGGTGTTGGCAATATGGACTGTACCAAGTGAAACTTTGGGAAGGGGGAGGACATTATGGGTTTTCTTTTTGTAATCTTTTCGTATCTTAGTAAAATTAACTCTAGTCTGAATATAATGTTGTAGCGTTATTGTTCATTTTAATACCTTTTGATGGAATGATGTTACTAATCTTCTCAACAGCTTTAATTGTCCATGTAATTTTATCTTTGCTATTGGCAATGTAGTTCGACATAGAAGTATTTAAAGCTGTTGTTTGAACTGCTTGGGTCTTTTGTATATGAGCTGGGGATCCACTTTATTTCAGCAAGTTTCCTTTGTTCTTGGATGTGTATTGGTAAAAGCACAGTAAAAAAAACAACAACCCATCTCTGAATCAAGTTTCTGGACTAGTTCCCGAAACCTCCCAGAACTGCTGGTTAAAATCCTGATCAGGGGTTCTAAAATCATTACACACATGTTCTGAAACCAGAACAGAACTGCATCCCACTGCACATGCTCAGTAGTGTCTCTTCAATCTCCATCCATAGGCTTTACAATAATACATATATTCTTAATCTTATAATTAATCTATTAATACATCCTGTTCCTGTGAGATCAGACTAGTCTAGGTCCTGTAACAGCAGACTGAGATAAGATTTGTGAACAATGATGGAACATTTGGATGCAGATCAGAAACAGATTAAAACAGATTTGACACTTTGAACATAAATAACTCTGATCTGATTAATCTGAAGGTAAGAGGTCACAGCTGCTGAATCTGAACCCACCACAATGTTTATGTTATTTAATTACTGGATGGAGGCAGAATTATTTCCATACGGAGACAATAAATCAACAACTAAATGTTTACTTCCCTTTAAGTTTGTAAATGAATGATGACACTGAAGCTGAGAATCATTTAAAGGTCCAGTGTGACAGAAAGGAGGCTACAGTAGAATAGGGCTAAAGATAGTAGTTGTTAGATAAAGCCAATATTCAAATAACGTTGGTGATTTTTTTTTTAACCCTCTGTTGGCAGCCTATTAAATGCTAACAGAAACAGCAGTAATGATTGTGAATCAGAACAACCAGCAAGGAGACTGAACCTTTAGTTAATTTATTCCAACAGTGTAACATCACACAGTCACACGGAATAAATAACTTCCAACTTCACTGAAACAAATCCTGGCTGACTGATTGATACGATGGATGATGGATAAGTTCTTGTACTTGGCCCTTGGCCTTGGTAAAGAGAGAAGGACAGAGACAAAAGGTACACAGCAACAACTATACAATTAGAAATGACTGATGATGATGATGATGACTATGACAACAACAACAACAGCCACAGCAATGGGGAATAATAATGAATAACATTATTCACCATCTGTAGCATTAGTCATTTCTGCAGCAGTCTATCGTTATCACAGTCATCAAAGTGGTTAGCTAACACCTGCTAGTGGCTAATGTTCACGGGAGAAAAAGGACAGATCGCCATCGTCTCTTTTGGTCTGAGCTCAAGCTGTAGGCTTCCCTCACATTTCTGGAAGTGTAGTTCTTGATCTATAGTACTCTTTAAGTACCTCAGTAGGTGTTTTGCTGTAGCCCAATGCTGCTGCTTTGGTTCTGCTAGGTGTTGTGATAGTTTACTAACAACCCAGCTCAGGTCAGGTCTGGTACATGTCATAATATATATTAAGCTACCTACTATCTCTCTATATCCTGTTGAGATCCAATAACTTCACCCTCACTGTCAAAGTTTAACTTTTGCTCACATGGGGTGGATCTTGGTTTGCATTCGGACATTCCAAATTTCGCATTATGTGTCTCTTTTGAGTCATTTTGATCTCTCCCTCACTCTGTCTAAAGTCAATGCCCAGGAAGTGTTTAAGTGGACCCATATCTTTCATCTTAAACCTTCTCTCCAACATTTCTTTTGCATCACTGAGTAAGGTGTTGTTACTCGCCGCTATGATTAAGTCATCTACCCATACTAACAGAATCACTTTCTCTTTGTCAGATTCCCTGCTGTAGACACAATGATCAGCATCATTTTGTACAAAACCATTCTCTGTAAGGTGATCATGCAGTAACATGTTCCAGTTACGCCCGGATTGTTTTAAACCATGACTTGTTGAGTTTACACACTAAGTGTTCTCCTGTTTTGGACTTGATCTAACTTCCGGTGCTCCATATATACCTCACAGTCCATAGGAGCATGGAGGTAAGCAGTCTTTACATCCATTTGGTGTAGGGTAAGATCCTCTTGTACAGCCACCTGCATCAATGCTCGAACAGAGGTCATGTTGGCTGTCGGTGAAAAGGTCTCTTTATAGTCAATCCCTTCCACTTGACCAACATATCTGGCTTTATAAGTCTCAGATCCATCTGGGCTCTCTTTCACTGCATATACCCAGCGACCTCCCACTGCTTGTTTGCCTCTTGGCAGTGGGGTCCGAGTGAAAGTCTCATTCTCTGTCAAAGAGTTCATCTCCTCTTTCATCGCGTCAATCCACATTTTTGATTTCTTAGAGTCCATAGCCTCTCTAAATGTTTTAGGTACACCATAAGCTCTGTAGAAACTCTGTAGAAATAATCTACATTTTCACTTTCATCATTATTACACTCAGCTTTACACTGGTACTCCTTTAAGTATTCTGGAGCTTTTCTCTTGTCCTCCGTAAGGATACTTCCTTTCCTTCCCTTGTTCCACCCCCCTCCGGTTGAGTACTACTGTCTGGTGTGGACCTGCCCTCATCAGTCACTAATCATGTCTGTCTGGCTATCTGCGCTACCTTTGGTGATAAATTTCACCAGCCTATGTTTCCTGTCTCAGGATAATACACGTTATATGCTGGACTATATTTATCATAGCCTACAAAGATCCCCTTTTTACACCTAGAATCCAGCTTCTTCTTATCCTGCTGATATACGTAGCATTCAGAGCCAAATATTTTCATGTTAGATAGGTTAGGTGTTTTCCCTGTGAAAACACGGTAAGGTGTCTGCTCTAGCCGCTTACTGTAGCACCTGTTGCGGATTTGAGCTGCTACAGGCAATAAATGTCCATAATTGCTTTGGAGAGGTTACTCTCCAAAAGCATGGCATCGTGAGCATCTCAAATAAGGTTCTCCAACCTCTTTTCGGCAGTTCCGTTCTGATGGTTGAGTAGGGGCGGCACTGGTCTCGTGTCCTTATCCCATTATCCTAGTGTAAAGAACGGTGGAAGTCCTGCCCGGTTAAGCTCCGTCCCGTTATCAGACGTTATGCACTTTATCTTTGCAGTATGGAGCTACGTCTGCTATGATTTTTCTGTAGTCTTTTGGTGTGTCACTTGCTTGTGCTGTTGATAAAGTTATGGGAAAATCATCCCACTGTATATCATTCAGTAAATGCTATCGCATACGCTGTATCCATCTTTATTCTGCTGGTGTCTATAGGACCGCATAGTGTCTGTGTGGCACTAGCTCTCGTAGTACAGTGTAGCTTTAGCGTGCTGGCTTGTCCTTATTTCTGCGTTTGTGTAAACTTGCCCTGTGTGGCATGTTTCACAGTTTTGGATTGGGACGGTTATCATGTTTGCCCTTTTTATAGACATCTTCAAGCACGCTTCTCTAATTGTTTGCACATCATCAAAGATTGACAATGGCCAAGAGTGGTTCTATGCCTGTTTGAATGTCATGACAACCATATACACTTTCTGCAACGATTGTTCTGTTCTACTGGGTGCTAAGGTAGATATAGCTTACATACACATCTATGTTTGAAACTTGGTACCATCGGCTGTGTGTGAAAAGCCAGTTTATACCGGTCCTTGGGAAGTGGACCGGGTCGGTCTCGTGTGTGGCTGTGTGCTTTGTGAAGATGTTGTTGTGGAAACGTATGGGGTGTAGAGTGTGCTTGCTTGGGGCCTCGTTTTCACTTGTTGCTCGTGTCAGCGAAGTAGACTTGGCGTGTCCCTTCGTTCGCGCTGGCCGGCTCCCGGTTGGGTCGCCGTCGGCAAGGCTCGATCATGGTGGTTCTCGGGTCTGGGAAGCTGTTTGTCCCTGTTTTGAAGGTTGTTGTGGCGTCGTTGATCATGTGTGGTTGTGGCGCGAGGGTCGACCATGGGGTAAGGTGGACCTTCTTGGTTTCCTCTTTGTGGTAGGACGGAGGTACGTTGCGTTGAAAAGTTGAAGAAGCAGAAAGATGTACGGCTTGCCACCCGTCTTCTGCCAATCCAGCTTTCTTCACAAAATGGTCACGTCCTCGCCGACCGCGTCCCTTCCTCGCTGATGGTGTGGTCCCATTTTCGCTCCCTCTCCTTCTTGGGCCTGGGATTCGTCCAGGACATGTTCTGGGCCATGTGTCCCCTTTTTACCGCTGTGTAAACTCGACATCTGCCAGGTTGCATTTCTTTCCTCCTCCCTCTTCCAGCGAGAGCACGTTGCC